GAGGGGGTGTTGGGGGTGGAGGGGGTGGAGGGGTGTTGGAGACGTTATCCACAGATGATGGGCAAATTAAAGGGCACCAAGAAACACCAATTTGAATTGCAATCCCACTGAACCGTCAAAACGATGGGAGCCACGGTAGTCTATAGTGGTAGGACGCAGGGCTCGTGACCGAAGGGTTACGGGTTCGAGTCACGTCACGGCACTGTGTTGTATCTTTGAACACGATACTTTACTCCGCTTGTTCCAGTCTACTCAACTGTAAATGAGTATGTGGTTGGGCAGTGCTAGAATTGTTGAATACAAGTTTTGAACGCCGAAATGGCAGCACAGGCTGTATGGTCCCGCAGGAGTTGAGAATGATATTGGCTGGTTGCAAAGGTTCTATAACCACGGATGATAACTTGTGAACCGCTTTGAGACGACCCACAAACTAGGTTGTGATAAAGCAGTATATAAGTTCCTCGAATTATTATTATTATTACTATTAAATCCCTTAACACGGAAGGATGGCATTGCAATCGGTCATAATATTGTAATGAACGCCTTTCCATAGGCACAGGAAAAAAATATCGGAAAGAAAGAGTATAGATAGGAGAGTAACAAAATGGCAGAAGAGAAAATCATCGACACTAAACATGATCCCCCACATAAGTCGCCTCCTACCATATCATGCCGTGGAATACAGCAGGTCAGTTTTCCTTTTCGGTTTAATTTGTTTCTCGTTATAGATGAGGCCATATCTTGCCCTCTAGAGTTATCAGTTTAATTGATATCACGTGAAGGTGACCTTCGAGGAGATTTATGTTTATATATAGATTACTATTGTATCGTGACGCTATCTAATGTAAACAGATGACATCGACTGATTAACCTAAAAAAGAGACGAAACCACAAATACAAATATTCGATGATATTAAATGCTAAATAATGTTTTAATCATTAAACAAGATAAAAAATATAAAAATTGTAGTAAGGAAAGCACTGCATTTGGCAGAACACATTTGACGTCACAATTGAAATGACGTCATCAAGTGAATCTTGATCTGCCTTTTCTTAGAATAGTTAGACCGAGTATGTCACAAATCGCTGACCACAAATTCTTTGACCGATATTATAAACGTAAGTTACATTCGTGATGAAACAGTATTCATCCCCTGGTATGGTCAAACAATCACTTCGTGTCGTGTACCAAAACTGGATTATCACGCTTGCTTGTGTTTAAAATAACGAAATCTCACCGTTGAGTTAAAACTAGTTATTTTTATTCCTTGCTCAAACAATTCTGCATTTTTCATTTCCAATAAACCGATACGCATTCACAGCAAAAATGCACATAACTGTCCATCATTCTTGTCAAAGGAGTAGCATAACGCTGGGGGCGCGCACCGACTGGTTTGTTTGAAGATATGCCTCATAAACTATACGCGCGTGCGTTTGTGCGTGCCATGACGAATTCACGTAAATATTTATCAAAAGTTTCGACTTTTTCCAGATATGTGCACCGTATTATGGATCAAATATAGCTTAAGCATACATAAGATTGGCTATACATGCGTGGAATTGTCGAATAACGGTGTCATGTATTCGATAATTGGGGCTCCGCGGCCAAGGTGTAAAACTTGACTCGTCAATTTTCTTCTGAAAATAGATATTTTTGTCTGCATTTAATCAGCTCATTTACCATCAGAAAACTTTAGACAATCATAGTTAGAACTACATTTTTTATGAACTATCAACATACATTGGTGATAAACATTTCCCTAGCGCGTCCCTCCTAAGTGTGAATCTGTCTCCGGTTTGGTGATTAAGGGAGATAACTCGGGCTTCGTGTTTCTCCCAGTTAGCATACAACAACGCAAAACGCGTTCCTGGTATGAATTATTGTTTCCAAAGATAGTGAGATTTATGATACAGGGTTAAGAAGTTATAAACCAGTCACTCTATGTCTGGACATTTCTACTGCTCCTTTACACAAAAACGATACATTTTAAATATGAGATTCGGATTGGTCTAGTACTTCTTAGACGCAAAACCATAATGTTGATGGAGATACTAACAAAGTCAATAGACCATGAAAGGTAGGCCGCATCCAGCATTTGATGCATGGGTTGAGATGTACTACCTAAGATGCATCTATGGTCTAAGTTTGGTTGGTCTAGCACTTATACTTTCAGTGAAACTAACTTAACCAAATCGACGAGGTGGTTCAACATTAAGACATTCCTCTAGTCGAGGCAGTAACAAGTGACTAGGTAGTTCACCGCTGTGAAACTCATCTAGCCAAGTCAGTTACAAGTGACAAGGTGTTTCACCACTGTGTCATACATCCAGCCGAGTCAGTAACAAGTGACTTGATTGTTCACCACTATGTCATACCTCTAGTCGAGTCAGTAACAAGTGACAAGATGGTTCACCACTGTGACATCCCTCTAGCCGAGTCAGTAGCAAGTGACTAGATGGTTCACCATTGTGTCATACCTCTAGCCGAGTCAGTAGCAAGTGAATACATGTTTCACCACTGTGACATACAGTATATCTAGTCTATTCATTTATAATTGACTAGATGGTTCATCAATTTAGCACGGGCAAAATACATTCCATTGAAGATCAAATTGTATTAACGTTAAGATGCATACACCGACTAAAATTCGACAGAAGATATTTTCCATCACTATATCAAAACGAAAAAAGTATTTGGCATTAAACATAACTAACGTGAAACATCGGAGCGGAAACAAAGCATTTATGTCGCCTCACGAGAGGAACTCTCCTGTATTAAAGTCTTATAACTCGCTGAGTGCCAACTCTTTCTTAATCCGTGGGAAACATTAGCAGACTAATATTTTCTGCGACTATATTATACGAACTATCCAGGTAAGTTGCCCCGGTTGTCGAAAACACTTAGAAGATATTTGCTGATTTGTACGTTAAAAACTTTCACGGTAAGATTAATCCGTCATGATTCAAGACGGATTTATCATACATTATTAGGTAGGGTACAAGTACCTTGCCACAAATAAAGGCGTTCCGAACGTACTCAAGGGCTGATCGCGAGAACTTACTGGCAACCCGCACAACGGATATACCGCCCAGCGGTCTATTAAATACAGAATATTATAGTGGATCCCAGTATACAAAATCATCTTGGCAAGATGAGAACGATAACTTCTTTTTTTAAATGGTCGAAGTATAATATTACAACTTTGATATAAATGTAAAAGTCATTTCCTAAAGTAAAATCTTCAATTATTTTAAACATGTCGTTAATTGCTGTTCCTTAATCAAAGTTTAAATTGGTATTAAGCCATTTTAATTTCACGACTTTTCCGGTCATTCTCTTTAAACATTCATTGCGCAGGCAAAATAAATGCCATTTTGGACACTACTTATTCGACGAAGCGATTCTTGTTTATATTCAGTTCAATCCTTACATTTACATTAAAAATAATCAAGAACATAGAAAATTTCGTTTGTTAAATGCCAGCATGGATAAGAAGTTCGCAATAAATATATATGTTTGCGTTTTTGATAACTAGAACAGGTATCCGCCGCACTGTGTTGTGTCTTTGAGCAAGATACTTTACTCCGCTTGTTCTAGTCTACTCAACTGTAAATGAGTACGTGGTTGAGCAGCGCT